ACCTCAGGGCGACTATTTTTATCTATTAAATAGGGCTTATAAAATGCTATTTGCGTGCATATAAAGCCATATAAAGATGAGCCGGAAAACCGTAAAAATGAGGGATGGGGGAAGGGAGTTGGCGTCTTTTCGTTTTTCGAAATAGGGTCTTCAATAATCCTCACTTACGCCGACGCAATAGAAAATTTAATATTCAATCCGGTCGAGACACGACTCTGCGGATGAACGTTATAAGAAATTCAATTTCAATCGAGGAGGTCCCGAAATGAAAGGCACATTGTATTTCGGGCGCCTTATATTTGCATAATATTCACCTTGCTCCCCACGCCCCACTTCGAATTTAGTAGTGATTGTTGATCTAAAATTTGGTCCTTCGGTGCTCTGTTTAATGAATCCGTCATAATGGGCGAGTATCTTCAGTTCACGTATCCACCGCAGTAAAAAACAAAAAAGTACACAGGAAGCACTGACATACTCAATGAACTCAATTTAAGCTGGAATGTCCCGTTTTCTTAAGGCAAATGAGGACTCTTTTCTTTGTCATATCCGTAAGTACTAATGGCAGATAATTGTAATAAGAGATTGTTTTATATTATTTCTTAATTTTTCTAATTGTTTGAGGTACTTTGCGAAATCATTTTAATAGTTTGTCCTTCCTTGAACTAAGTAATTGTGTAGATAAACATTCTTGAAATTGGTAAATTCCTCAGTTGAAAGCGGCTGGAATAATACATATATACAGGGTGCTCATAAATTATTGCGCAAACTATAAAAGCATATTCTACATCCAATATAAGCCCTAATTTTTTATATAAATATATAGCAAGAAAGGAAAAGACTTGACAGAGAATGTTTTGAAATTTTAGCTGGATAATTTACTGGACCACCTCGAACTATCCATTTGTTTGCAAAATTTTCATCTAACCAGTTTCTTGCACCCCATCCAAAGTGAGCTGGTGCTCCATCATGCCGCAGAACATCTCCAAGCGAGTACGTTCGCAAAGAAATTTAAATAAGCATTAGTATTTAATCTATTAATATATTAATCTATTAATAGAATGACCTATTAACACATCTATAATATCTGCTCAAACATTGATAGAAAATCTACATTGCAAGTTCGTTCTTCGAACAATCCCCGGATTCTCATTACCCGAGAAATTCGCGTTGTGAGTATTAAATGCCTTATTTACCTCTTGGAAATATTGCCTGGTCCAACCATAAAATTTTGTCCGAAATTTCTTGATGGTTAAATTCTAAACGATTTGACAAGTTTCGTGCCTTAAATTGTGTACTTTTAGATAACATACAAGGGCACGCATGTTACCATTACAATAACCGCAAAAATATATCTGCTTAATTCTCGCTCCATAGTTATAAAAAGTCAAATAAAAAAAGGCAATGTCAACAAAACAAAATAACAATCTCATCTATTCGGTTAGAAGGTGTACTTTTCGACCGGGGTATTTTTAAAATCCATTTTCCGCGAAAACGGTCGATCCCTGCAATATTAACAGCTAACTAAACGCAACTTTTCCGATTTGATAAAAGGAAAGTCTAAAAGTCAACCTACAATGAAGTTTTGTTTCGTGTACCCCTCCAAAGTTACGCTTATAATTATAGAATCAGCCTCAGCATCCCAAAATTACTAATTTCTGTATTTTTATTTATTTGGGTAATACTAAAACATTCCGTTGTGGATTTATTTTATAAATAATTATCTAGTCATTATATAAGTAAAATCTAAAAATATATTTATATATATGAAGTATATATAATAACTAAAATTATCAATTTGAGTTTATCATGGCATGATAATGTTTGTGCGCAGTGTTTAGAAACAAAACAGCTTTGAAATATTCTCTTTTTTAATGAATAAAAAGAATTGTTTAAATGTATGTAAATATAGTGTAATGTCAATTGTAAATCCTTTTTGAAGTAATACCCCCTGAAAAAATAGATACCGCGATTTCCTGATCAACATATTTTTTTTTAAACCTTAGAAAGTATTCTTTTCTACTCCCCTCTCTCGAAAATACTCAATTATACCCAAATATTACATACGGCTTCAGTTTTGACGATGTCAATTCTGAAGATCATGTTGGTGAATGTATTCGAGTTGATTTGCAAACATCTAGTGTGGTAAACGGCATTTGAGTCACGAGTTTAGATTTTTTAAGAAATTAGATTATTGGCTTTTACTTGATGAAAATCCATTTATCAAAATAAATAAGAACTAAAAGTTCAGATTTTCACGAAATTATATATTATGACATGACAATTGTTTCGACAACACCGTGTCTTTATCAAATGTTAGATTATTGTAACCTTTTTTTGATCATAAAATAATAATACTAATAATAATAATAATAATACGCAAATGATTTCAATTATATGAAAGAGCACAAGAAAGACAAAAATAGGTGTCTATGGTAAAATTTGCCTCACTTTTCTATCACGCCCGTCTAATTCGAGTTTAGATCGGGTTTACTGGATACTCGTACTCATATTGAGAATTTCGATAAAAATTAACACTTCTTAAACTGAGAGATGGCGCTTTATTGAACGAAAGTTTAGATAAGAGTTGGCTGTCTAGGTAAATTTGTGAACTGATCATAATCCGTTTCCATTCTTATTTCGTTCAACCTTATCTGTTCGTTCGGGTTTTTAATACTTACTAGGTTTTGCGTGAATTTTTTGTTTTTTGAAATATTGGATAAGTATTTTGAATTGCTTTATATGGTAACGTATTTTGCTACACATGCCTGGTGAAGAGGTTGAGGAGGTTTACAGCAATTACTTTCATCATTTTTGGTCAAATGGTAATTCAAAATATAACTTATTTAATGCATGGAATTTTTATGTTTATTAAACCTGTAAAGTCTGTTGAGTATAATATTGGCCTTTCGCTTGACGATATGGCTTCGACAGGTAAATAGTCATTATACCAATGTGTATGTGTTGCATATTAATACAGTTTAGTTCCATTCGTGCTCATGCTAAATCAAACTTGTGACTAAAATGTAATTAATTAAACTTCTTGCGTAATATACTTTTTTTTATCTTCTATATAAAATTCATTTGGTAGATATGAAACATCTTTGAATAGTTTCCCTCTTTGAAGTTTGAGGGAAAGTAATTTAACTAATTTTTTACTTTTATCATAGCCTATATATACTAACTGATCTGGTTGAAATCAAACAAAAATGAATAACTGATTGGGGGATTGTTATTCATTTTTTACCATGCTACTATGAGGAGCTAAAAACGTAGCCAATAGACAATTCAACGTGTGTCGATCAATTCATAAAGCAATACGTCGGTGACAATTAAGCAGGTGAGAAAGTCAATACGCCAACGAACGGCTAGATCGATGACGTTCAAACTGCAGAGAACGTATATATACGATATGAATTTGCCGGGCTTCGTGGAGTTTTCCCAGATCGCCTTCCAGTTGCTTAGGTTTTTTTTTTTCATCGCTCGAGAGCTCTCACGACCTTTTATCACACATCCGACTTGTCGGATGCTCGTAGCGGCTCTGAAATCTCTATGGCGCTCCCCGCGATAACTTTAATCCCGGTCTCGTCAAACTAATGGAATCACGATACGCCCATTTATTTTTAATTAGCACCGATGCAGGAGACGGGTATTTGTGCCCCGCGAAGTGCGATTTGGGTTTTTTTTTTCTTCCGATCCAGATTTGATGGGATTTTCCGTCCTTTTTTCTCGCTTTTAGAATCTTTGACGCGCGCTTCTCGAAAATGACCCACAGTCATTTTTTCAATTTGCTTCCTAAAATTCCGTCTGATACGGATTGATTTTCATTAAATTTATTTTAAATTTGCACTCGGTTACTTATTTAGGTCGGTTCCTTTCCAAAATTGTGTCAAGATTGACATTAGTTGCCAAATAAAAAATACTTTACAAAGATCTACTTCGTTTCACGTATTTATAAGTATATAATATTATTTTTATAAAGCTTTGTTTTGGAATTTGCGGGTTTGATGAAATTTACTTTAAGCACCTTGACCATTTTTAGAAAAAAGTCTATTTTGGATTGAGACCATAGAACGCTATGATCTATATTGTTTAAATATTTGGGGAACATTACAACGTCGCCACATATTATTACTTTTTTCTATTCTATGAAAAATTCTCTTAAGCTGTTTTGAGGTTATGTCGAAAATAATTAGCTTATTTAATAATTAATAATTAACTTTCAATTATTTCAGGTAAACATTCAAAATTCTGGTGTGTTTGCAAAATTACTATTATTTTTCAAAATATGAGAACGTAAATGGAACTCCCTGTATTCTAATGAAAAGAGTAACTCATTTTTTTATATAAAAGTGTTTTGGAGTTAACAGCGAAAAGCAAACGTAAGCAAATATAACGGCTTTCATTTCGTATTTGACATCAATTGAATAAGAATAATTGTATATTAATATTTTCTGGTGACTGAATACCAAATTGATTGTTAGAAACTAGATCGACAAAAACAAAAATAATAAAATGAAAGGATTAAAAAAAATAGTAACATTTTATCCATCTTATTACAAAAAAACACGCAGAAACCATAAAACCTAGCAACGTCAACAAGAAATTTGAATAAAGATCATAGCTGATGGAAACCGTCCACCAAGCTTTACCCCTAAAATATCCCAATTTATCTGTCGGAGTTGTTCCAACTAATTTCTATACATCGATTCTTACTAAATCATGTGAAGCATTGATTGATTGATAGTCGACGGTAAAATTTTAAAATCCTGTTCGTGATTTGCTGTAGGAACGAATTTTTAAATCTTCCAAAGTAAATAAATCATATAATATTGACAACATTTAACAACATCGCGAAATCATTCCATCCTAACCGTTGTGGCTCACTTGACGTAAGTCATAACCTTGCTTAAATGACTGGGTACGTTGCCTCTGAATACTAGTAGTAGTTCTCAAAGATTAACAACCGTGAAAGTCTATCACCGACTGTTTTTTGGTTGCAGCGTTCGTGGTGTTGGGCTTCTTCGTTTGCTGGGCCCCATTTCACGCCCAACGTGTGCTGTCAGTCTACATGGGCGATGACGATGACTCCAACGAAATCAAATACTGGGTATTCCTGATCACAGGCGTCTTTTATTACTTCTCGTCTACTCTGAACCCGATCCTATACAACGTCATGTCCGATCGCATGCGCAACGCGTTCAAAGAGGTCTTCTTCGGCATCAAACAGAAGAAACCATCAACTTACTCCACCTTCAGGGAGACGAGCCACACCACCATATCGGTGCAGCACCCAGCACCCATTTGCAATCTATGCAACGACGACGACCTGTACTTGAACAAGGACAGTGCTCTACTGTTCGCTGACAACTCTAGCAAGAGGGGCTCCTATCAGAAATGTAGCAAGAAGCACGCCGACTTTTTAAATGCCAAACAGGATGAGACCTGCGTCTAAGTGTCTAGATTTCCGATATAAAATCGATTGATGTTTATACCACTGAACCGCACAAACAACATTTGACCATAGGACGAACCTAACAAATCGATAATCTGTCAGGAAAAACTTAAAACTCTATTAACGATAGGGCAATGAGGCTCTGGAACGCGTGCTGATTGGCGCTGACGTCAACGCAGATATGAGTTTGTCCCCGACCGTTCTTGCGCTTTTTGTTTTTTTTTTTACGACCTATGGTCCAATGGTTAAAGCGAATAAGATCTCTCTACGAGAACGGTGTACTGATAATATCAAAGTGAACCGGATTCGAGTAGCGAAACGGACGCCTATCGCTTATCGACTTCTTTCTCTGATGTTCATTCGATGTCTCTTCTTCGTCGTGCCAAAAAAAAAATGAATTGTGATCTTTTTAGTGATGTAATATTTTTTATTATTAAATGTTAACCGTAATCATCATGGAGTTTTGTGTCGGAGTGTGCATTCCGCCGAGACCGTGGAAAGTCAAACGCGAAGACTTTTAATCCGGAAATATTTGAGAAAGCGCGAATTATTCTCTGGGATGCGAATATTAAATGTCGTCTTTTATTTTGTCGTTTCTTCGGAGCTTAAAACGTGCCTCTTTGGGGCGGAAAATTGCGGTACCCTGCAGCGGTTTTAACAATTAGTGTGAAGAGGGGCTCAAATTAAAATAAGACTTAAGCGCGACGACCAAGAAAAAGTGGTTAGGCAAGCCCTTAAAATGTCGTTTCGAGACATGTAGGCGATTTTACGATTGTGAGAACAATTATAAGTTTTCTTTATCAAGATTGATTTGATATTTGTTCAAGCACTGCTTCATAGACAGACTCTTGCTTTATTAGGTTAGTTTTGGTTAGTAGACTTCTAGTCTGGACTTTTAATTTTGTCTCACGAAGCTTGTTGTATGCCACTGCCTTCCTACAAGGATAGGTTTGTCAAATATTCAGATGTCTTTGGCACATCACAATATCTCATCGACGCACACTAGTAACAAAAAAATTGAAAAAATAGTTAGGTGCGGCAGCAGGTTAGGTGTTAGCGTAAAATTTTTGACTTTGCATTTTTTATAACAAGTTGCCCGCGTTCGTGCGACAGAGCTACACTCTTGAGTCGACACAAAGGACCGACTTTAAATACGCTACCGGAAGTTAACGAGACGGAAAATTGAATGAGGAAGTTGCAAGGTGGCAACGCTCTCGTAACTATATACACCAAAGGCAACGCCCTCATCGTTTCCAGCCACAATTCCCTTCTTTCCCTTCGCCTTTTTATCCAGATGATACCATATACATGCTCCACATTTAACTAACCTGTGCCCGCGTATCTGACTCTGGGAATGTTTTGGAATAAGCAAATTCAGAAATAGCTTTAATTTCCACCCCTCTACGAATTTTCACTGAAACTTTATATAGTATAATTCTGAAGGACTTTTGAGATTAAATATTTTAAAGAGAAGCCTTTGAATCACACACGTTAATCACAAATATCAGTTTCGAAAATTCACATCTCCCCAAACTGAGAAAACGGATCGAAAAGTCAAAAATAATGCATCATATATTTCGACAAATATCAAGCCGTAACAAGTAGGGAAAAAGTCTACATGAAAAAACCGTTGAGCAACCATATCGCAGCACCAACACTTTCACACACACACCCCTACACCTAGCTCTTCCCGACTTGGCTGCGCCTGTCTTTGATCCTCTTTTGAAGCGTCACCAACAAGCCACCAAGCACGTCGTGATTCGGCAACTTCTTAGCGAATAGTAACCTCTTGACAGAATCGTCGTACGTCAGCAGGGCGACCATGTTCTGCAGCAGGAATCCCTGACAGTACTCCAACAGCTGAGCAGCGTTGTACACCTTAGCGTGAATGTACATGGAGACGACGTTGTCCAACGCGACCGTCGCGGCGCACCTGCTCTCACAGTACTGCAACAAGCCTTTCAGCTGGAAGAAATTCGCCGCGGCCATCAGTTCCAGTATGTCATCGTTTGTAGGTTCAAGGGCTTGACAACCGCCCTGATATAGGAACTGCATCACGGTCTGAAACCATCCAGCTTTTTTTGATGTCGTTTATCTCTATTTGAACCTCTTAAATTTCGGAAAATGCTCCAGAGCTAATTAAGAAATTCTTGATAGACCTCGTCAGGCTTATCTAAAACATTTTTCATTAAATTTGCAAATAAAATTCATTAATACCGAGGAGCATTTTCATTCTGCAAGCCGCAATATCCCGTCAGTTATTACTTTCCTGCCATATTTCAAATTCAACCAATCCAATAAGCCAAAGCAATAGGCTAGATATGCGCCGTCATTCAAATATCAAAGCGAGCTGATCCTATTTCTCAACATCCCGCTCGTTTAATGGAATTTCACTTCGTAAACATCAAAAGAACTCTACCTTATTTTATGATTAATGTGCTCCGTGTACGCAGGAAAATCATGTAATAAAATTTGTATTCCGGCATCCCGCCATTCGCGTTAACTCAATCATAACCGAAAAACGACTTCGTACTGGCACCACCATACTACTTAATTCCCAAATATTTTGACGCAGCACTGACATTGTCATATGCGACCCGACATGCGTAGTCGACGTCATATGCCACTTAGTTACCTAATTTTAACCCTAAATACAGCGAACAGACTTGGTCAATGAAATCAATCTTAGGTTAAATGTTTTTATTTTCTTGGGTATCTAAGCATACCAAAATTTTACTTATAAACAATTTTAAAAACGCGTTTTTTATTTATTTTTCAAAAATAAATATTTTTAAAAAAGCTAACTTTTTAGATCAATTTTCATTGGTAGTGGTAAAATATAACCGCAAAATCGGATTCTGTGGTGGAGCATTGCACGAGGAGGTTTAATCTCTGTTTGCTCCCGACAGAATCCCTGGTAATCGTCCCCAAAAACTTTGGAATCGGTATCCACAGTGTGGATTTAGTGTTTTTAGTGTTCAATGAATGTTTTAAAGTTATAATCGTGGTCGGCTCCGTCGTTTTTTCACGCTGGAATGGAGGCCGGATAGACCCGGATGGTCCGCGGGGGAAGCGGAGGAGGCCGTTTATTGTAATCGGTCAAAGAACCTTTTTCTTGTTGAAATTCCATTTTGCATATGTAACAAATCCGGAGGATGATGGATTGGTCCAGACCCTTCTCTTAAGATATTAAGATATAGGATATTTGAATAATGTTCATAATTGAGTAAGCTGGCCGAATGACCTTATGTAGTCGTGGCCATTAGAAGTAAAGAAGAAAGAAGAACCACAAAATCCCAAAAAAGTTGATTGCAATAATTGCAAATAATCATAACACTCTGAGAAAAAAAAATTGTTCAATGCCGGTCGCATCATCTCTGGTTAAGGTATAAGTCATCACATTAACGGAAAAATGGAAAAAAGTTTTAATTGTTGTATATTATTTTGAATCAGCCATCTGAATAACATATTTTTATACCTATTTATGATATCAATTTTTTTTTATTAGGATTAAGTAATACAAAATGAAGTGCTATTTACAAATCTTCTGGACTTCTCCTGCGTCGGCTTCTTCATAGCTTAAGTAAAACAGTTTCGGTTATGCTCCGAAGAAGCCAACAGGATTATTGGAGAAATGTCAGCAACTTGACTGGATTAACCTTAATCTTCAGCTAAAAGTTCAATCTTTTCGAAGCAACGTAGGTATTTAAAAAAAATGAAAACGAGAATTTTTTAGGAGTATCATAATATCCATGAGAATATTAACTAATGATGGCAAAAGGTTGGAGACTTATTTTATAGTATTTGTGAATGGACCTCATTGACCTCTAACTTCGATGCAAATGTCAATCTTTTCATCAACATCAACTCATCAACAAAAGACGCAGGAGGAATCCAGAAGGTTTGGAAATAGTATATAATTTTGTATTACTTAATCATAATAAAAAAATGATATGAAATAAGTACGAGAATATGTTATTCATATGGTACATTAAAAAAAGAATAAAATTTTTAAAATATCTACACACCCACCTCTGCATGAATTTCTAGATTCAGAGGTTAACTGAAACAGTTTAAATCATCCTGTTGCTTTCTTCAGAACATAACAGTTTCAGAACTTTGACTTATCGACAACCGACTCAGAAGAAATCCAGAAGATTTGTAAATTTCTTCGAAAAATTTACAAAATTAAATTTTAAGAAGCAGTTGAAGAAGCGTTACCCGACCTTTTTAAATGTGAAAAATGGTACAGAAACAATATCTGACGATAAAATATATCATTATCTATTGTATACGGTGAGGCCATATTTAGGGAAGTTCCGATACCAAGTATCGATACCTACTCAAATCTTTTTTCGATACTACTCAAATAAATACTCCTAAAGTCTCGATACTTACTCATATCGATACTTTTAGCACTTTATTATTTTTTTATTTATTTTAAGGAAACTAACAATGAACGTTTACACTAAAAACAAAAAACAAAATTAAGAAGGAAAAGAATAAAGGTTTTCGTCACGTTAAGCACGTACTTTAAACAAAAAACTCCACGATAACATAGAAACAATAAGCCGATGATTACAATAAACAAAATTATTCGTAAGCAATCTCTTGTATGTTTAACAATGAAAAAAAAATGAAGGGCGGACGTGTATCTCGCTTTTGGCTCGGGCTCGGTCGAGTGAAGTCGGACGAGTTCGGCTTGGCTGGCGCGAGACAACGCGTCATAGATCAGATAGAGATTTATGTTTGTCTGATGCGTTCGGTTTTTTTTTTAATGGTAAGGCTGATTCGATTCGATACCAAGTACTTTTGTTTCGATACCGAGTAATTATCGCAAAATTGATTCGATGCTATAAATACTTGGTATCGAATCTAAAGTATCGAGTACCTACTCGTATTTACTAGTATCGGAATATCCCTAGCCATATTAAATGCAAAATTGCAAAATATGCAGAAATCGATAATTCAAACGACATTTCCCAACACACAACTTTCCTCCAGGCTTTTCTTTTGTCTATTTTTTCGTCGGACCCTAAATTTTGAATTACTGAGAGGCAAGAAAATCTTCGATTATCAGCCATTCTTGAGTTACATCGACAAACATCAATCTATGTTTCTTTTTTCGAACCCGCAGGACTTTTCGTTCAATATTCCAAACTTGAATGAAGTCATGACGGCACTGATTTGTAAAGAATATATCACACAAGTGGTTATTTCGTTATTTCAGTTTAACCAGAGTTAACGCAATATCACGGTCAAAAAATTATACCATGACCAATAGAAAAGAAATGTACAATGTCTGGACAGGTAAAGATGTCGTCGTAAGTCAGCAAAATGCTACTTGAGTCGACAAAGCTTCTCAAACTCACCTGAAATATATGGTACCTTATGTCGTTGATTTGGACGATTGGCAATCCGCCTTCGCATAGTTTCGAGCTCAGCATCGCCCTCAAACGTGGACTGGCCGTAACCAGTACTATTTTGTGTGCGTAAAACAGTCGACCCTCAACTCTAAAAGTCACATCGCTCAATTCTGGATTGTTGACGTACTTGGTGTCTATTCTGGATCCAGACGAGGTTCCCGGTGAACATTCCTGTACCGATTTTATCGGTTCCCAGCCGTAACACGTCGAGAATATGTCGGCAAGCAGCAATGTCGTACCTTCTTTCTGATAACAGGAAAAAAACTCGATCGACAATGATACCTTCCAGACCTTCAAAAAGCCGTCATTACCTTACTGTATCTGAATATGTTAAAGAGCAAAGGGAGACATTCCAACACGAACTGCGGGCTGTAATCGTCTGGACACACCTGCAGAAAGTCCTGTAACAGTTGGTCGATGACGCAGTCGAGTCGGGTCTCGTGAGCAGCCGCCAAGGAGTGCATCCAGCAGTGCAGAGTCCATGGTACTCCTAGAGTTCGTATTTCGACGGTAATGTCAAGGTGATTATTTTCGGCACTGTGATACATGGCTTCCTGTAACGCCTTCACCTGGATCTTGGTGAATTGGGGAGGATTGCTTGGTACCGTGCTGGACTTGGGGGTACCTGGACGTTAATTTCCTTAGTTTCTAGGTGGCAGACTTTTTCTTTTATAAATAAATTACAAGTGTTTTTCGTTTCTCTTACTTGGAAAGTTTAAAATGTCTGCCCTTGACTCTCGCGTTAAATTCCCATAAACAGCATCAAAAAAGTAACAAGTGACGAGTTTTTGCACGCCTAGGCGACAGATTGTGATACTATTAACACGGAGCTCGTCCCAAAATCTTTATTATTGTTAGTAACGTCGTAGAAACTTTTCCGCTACGGCGTAATAAGATTCGCCGCGCATCTGTTTTCCGAAAGTTTTTGCTGAGGAGACAATTAAAATTATAACGAGTTGCATTTCCGGGAAAAAGATACTTCGCTTAGTGTTACCGAATACACGACTACTTAATATTTATAAGCTCGGCAGCACGTATACTAGCAGAATTAATTGAGTAATTTATAGGAACATTTCTCGCTGCGGTCTTCAATTGCACTTCAATTGCACTTAACTAGAAACTGAACTCGTTGAAAATAATGTTACGAGATAGTTAGTAACTCAATAAAATTTTTAAAAAATATGCCATTTACATTTATTTCCTGGGGTGTACAACTACTGCAATAAATTGAAAAAAAAAGTTACGTGTTGTCAATTATCATAATTTTTGTTCACTCGGAAACGAGACATGATCTGAAACCAACTCACGAGTCAAAAAATTGTACCATTATTGTTATTAAATATAACAAAAATTGCTATTCGTTATTATACCTGCCGAGATGGCACTGGGATTCACAATGTCAATGTAGTTAAAGCAAAACTAGACCATTTTCATTATACATTAGTTTTATTTTTAATTTTAACAAAATCTGGAAAACATAGAAAGACAAATTGTATAGCCGTTTCTTTATATTTATCACGTGGGCACTGAGCGTTTCTAAAACCACGTTTATACGACCTTTTACTTCTTTTTTGTCTGATGAACCTCTAGCTGAGCCTTGGTAGTGTCTTTAAAACACCCTGAACACAGTACGTTTTTTACGAATCATGATTTCAATATTGTGAACGCTGACCGGCAAATGACCCCTTCATTCCTCAACATTTAGGTTATCAATTCGAGAGCGAAACAAACTAATCGTGAAAATAACATATGATCTTGGTTGAGGGGGACATAATGATCATGATGAATTATTTTTTTAATGGTTATCCATATATTTCCCACACCACATAAAACTCATAATAAATCTTTCTTTGACTTACCTTCCGCCAGCATCTCCTCAAGAGAAAGCACTTCCTTATTAACCGGGGCTACAGGTTGAGCGAGCAGCTTCTGCAGCACCGGGCGATGACCGTGCGCGGCCGCCACTGATATGGGGCTGAAGCATCCCCTCTGAGTCGATGCTGTGTAGCTCGGCGCGTCCTTAATTTGAGTGGAAAAAAAGGGTTGCGCCCCATGACCGCACAGCAACGCTACCATGTCGACGTTGCCGCTTCCGCAGGCCACCTAATTACACACCGTGCATTTTATGTGCCCCAAAACACCACCCCAGCTTACCTGCAGAGGTGTAAGAGTAATTTTTTCCTCGCTAGGCCCAGCCCCGCCCTCAACGTTCGCTCCCCGTTCCAGCAGGATGCGAGCACAGAGCGTGTAACCTTTTGCGGCGGCGTACGTCAACGCTGTCCAATGTTGGTTTTCCCCGTTGACTGCCGAGTATAAGGGGGGCATTGGGGGCGGGGTCTCAACGTCCAAAGCGGCGCCCGCGTCTAGAAGCGCCTGGAAAAATCGCAGTTTGGCATTGGTGAACGAGTGGGAATAGTGCCCGTTGATAAAAACTTACAATGAGGGCGACGTCGTCATTATGAATGGCGGCCAGCATCAGAGCCGTGTGACCTTGGGGGTTTAAAGTGTCCAGTTTCGTCGAGGACGGTAGCAACGCTGCGGACTGTTGGATCAATTCCGGACGTCCGGTGAGCATTAAACGAAAAGCCAACTCGATCTGAATTTGTTTGGTAGCCTCCAGGTGGTCTTCTTCGTTGCCTGTATTCTTCCTTACCCTTACCGCTTCCTCCCCTAACGACCTAACAGGACAATCGACCCCGGGTAGGAGGAGCCTGGCGGCTTGCATGATGTCATCCTTGTCCAAGACGGCAGCGAACCGATGCTCTCCGTGCGCAGTTGCCACTCGCAACCACTCTACTAGAGGGGGCAACACCACGTAAGCCCGTTCGTAGCACAGCTCCTGGAAAACACTTCCTCAGTTGCCACCTTCCTACATATTTCGGAAAAAAATACTTGGACAGCGTGTCCGCTTGACTGGTCCCCGTGCTCGAGCTGAGAACACCTCATAAAATAAAACAAAGTCCTGACCGCTTTCGGACAAAGGGGTATCCTCGGTTTCATACGACCTATCAGATCCTGCAGCTCCTTCAAAGAACCGACGCACGTAGTCATCAAAGAAGGTTCGGGAGGACCGGAAGTACGCTCGCAATCTTTCCCGGTGCTCCCTAAACTGCTCACGGACGCCCATCTAGGCAAGGCCAGGGCTCCTAAAAATGATTGATGGAATGAATGGATGCGACTACCGACGTTTGAAATTTTACCAGACGCGATGCGACCTGCGTTTAAGTGAGCGTAAGGCTGTAACAAGCCCCACAAGTCACCATTGTTGGCAATGGCGTGCTCCAATAGGGTCGCGGTGAGTTTTACATCGGAATCGCTGGGCAGACACTGCAACAGGATCTCCTCCAGCAGATTTTCGATTCCGGCACAGAGATAGACCGCAGCGTACCTGAAGAAGAATGTATTAAGCATCATAAGAGAAAAGTACAGTCTCATAGCTCAGCCAGAGTCACATAAATACTGGTTCTTATTTACCTACATGCAATCTGTGAACAGAAGAAGGGGAGCCGGAATACTTACTCATGGATAAACCTCGCTAGGTTGACGTCAGTCATCCACCTGTGAAACCTGCCCACTTGCAAGTGCAGTCCAGCTCTGGAGCTCTTGCTCTGTTTGGTGCAGTCACTGGAGACAGCCAGCATGGCAGACGCCCTCAGGCAGGCTTTGACGCAGGAATCGGCCAACGGAGGACACAACACTATCCTAAAGGACACGGTGACGTCGTGTTTGGTGCAGACGCCCAGCGTAGAGGCAAGACGTTGAGTTTCGCGGCCGATTCTCACCAGAGCGCGCTGAAGAAGGTAAGAGAGACGGGGAATGGTTTCGACGCTCACCCTGGACATGTGGTCCTTGCAACGTCCCGACTGCAGGACTCGTAGGATGCAGTGGTTCGTCCAGGGCAGATGTTGAAGCTCCACTAATCTACAAGTTTCCCAAAAATTATTTTGAAGCAAATTAATTTAACTACATTTTTTTGCTCACTAAACCAGAAACCAGAAAATGAAAAGGTGTCCAAATCTGTCGATAACTAATATTAGAAAGAACTCTTCAGCCTCTAAGTATATCTAGTACGAAATCGAATTCGGGGCCACCTGTAATCGAGTTTGTTTGTCTTCCGGAAGCCGCCAGTTCGCAGGAGGCCTCGTTAGTCTGTTGAAAAATACGGGAATTTCCCTCGACAAAGGAAATTGGATTGCTTTGTTCCTAGGAGAACGAAATCGGGAATCTCTATAAACAAGGCGTTTTTTTGTAAACTGCTGTAGTCGGCTTAAGACCCATTAGAATTATTATATACTACCACGACTGTCTTAATTTTTTTTAAGATTAAAAGCTACACACCAAAGACGCACATATTTACCCTTGGGTTCTAAAAGAAGGTAGAGAAAGAGTAAGATTAAACAAAAACCTGTGGATTCTTTTAACTAAAATTTAAATTTAATTTTTTATTAATTTAAAATTAACTGTGCCTCGAAAATCAATAGTCCTTATATTTCAAAACGCCCTGTACGCATACTCTACACGATATCTGTGTAGGCAAAGGTTGCTTTTAAAAGGATAGCCCGTGAAAATGCATTTCATATTTTCCAATCATCCAAAATAACGCCCCGGAGAGACACATCACGGCAACCCCACCGGGTTTGTTGCCCCAGAAATTATTTATTATCCCACCTTTGTCGATCATAAATGATACTTTAATAATAATGGAACAAGTCTCTCCACCATCTTAACTTTTAATGCATGACGTTTCTTATGTCCAATATGACGCCGTATCGCGGCCATCATGCAAATATTTGGCAAATAATAAAACGGTTGTTGTTATTTTCAGCAACCTAATTGTACGTTACAAAATTTTAATATCAATCTTCAACAGTTCCTCCATAAAAAGAAAGAAACTAGAAAATGACGCTCCTCGTTAACCATAAATAAAAGTGAAACTAGTACAAACATATACCTGTTGTGCGAGTCGACCCAAACGAACTCGTCCGCACTAGTTATATTGGTGTTTATCGTTTCAAGTGACGAGTGTCTCATCAGTCGCCGAATTGCCGGTTCAGAACTCTCGGACCCAGCGCTGACACTGGAGTACGTACTGGTAGAAGTGTGCGACCTCATCGTCAGCTGCTGAAGAGCTTGCTTGATGTCTTCGAGACCACCGTTCCCTGACCAAGGGGCCTGCAACTTTAAGGGAATGATTGGGGTGTGTAAAAGAATCGACTTGCTGCTCGTACCCTAGCAGGGGTCGCGCGGTGTCTCGACCTGCCATGCTGAGCGGCCATTTTGGTCCTGGATGTTTTGGCCAGTACTCCAGCGTTCAATCTGTCCGGTCCCGGTCCCAAACCCCTAGGGGAGCTGCTGTTGCCGGTGTCGGACATGCTGGCGTGACCGGAAGATCTGTTCTCGTCAGATGAGCTGTTGCTGCACTGCTTCGTGAACGTAGGTTAACGTAAGTAACTATTTATTCGTGTGTTTAACGTACCTGCATGCGAAGTTCTTGCACGCTCACATGATGATGCCTTCTGGACGATATAACGCGGTGCTCATCAGCCGAATTAAATTTGCAGACCAACTGGTTCTGAGCGAGGCGTAGATTGCTTACCGCTGGCACCTACACATTCACACACATCTAAATAATAAAATTCGAGAATTACGTGGCACGGATCACCTTGTTGGGGCCAGTATCCCGTTCGGGTACCATGTTGATCGAGGAGGGTGAACATGTGAATGCGTTGGTATTGCTCAGGTTGCTGTTGGTACCTCTCGAAGGATTACCTTCATTAAACGTGGAGGTTTTCACGTTGTTGGCGACGAACAGGTGCTGAAAATGCTCGACCTTTCTTTTTGGTGACACCATTCTTTCATTAGAGGAAGTCTGGTGGTCCGATTGGCCAGACGCGGGAGTGTGATCTTTCTTGGCATGATCAGCAGTGTCGTTGGACTCCGAATGATGATCGAAGCTGCTTAGCTCGGTTTTCGAATTACTAGACAACCTTGAAGGAAAAATTGGTCGATATACAATATATTTTCCATTTGAATAACAAGTGGTTCTGTAAAATTGGCATTTTTTATGCTGATGTGCTGAGATATAGTTTAGTGGTAATTATGTATTTTTTTCTGTAGCCATGGTTAGTATTAGGTGCATCGGACATAATTTTTATTATCCGCATTATTTACTAGGACCGAAACAACTTTTATTTGTTATTTAACGCGCAAAGTAAAGCACCATCATCAGTCGACAATCAACTTTTACGCAACCCGATCAATTTTACCAATTTTGCACTCGCAGGTAAATTAGTTCATTTGTTTTTGTTGCGATTCCATTTTAATATTTTAATAATTGCGGCTAATGGAAAATTCCCTGCATAATCATTGATCACGTACACGTATGCGCAAAGTTTTTCAGGGGGTATTTCAGTCAACATTCAATATACAGGGTGAACAAGACTCGATGTTCTAGCTTGATTGAAGGGAAAAACTAACAATTGAAAATTTTTGAATAAAGATTCCAAAATCTCTTGTTCGTTTTAGTTCGTTTGGCAAAGGAGTAGTCATTCATTTGTTTTCCCAGAAGCACTTGCCTGAGTGTTTTTGTGGGGAGTTGAAAAAAAGTATATCTCCTATTTGTCGAATCTAATCAAGCATAACCACAAGGGAGATTCGTTGCATGTCGAAACACGAATTCATTCTATGAAAATATTCCGGGTATGGCTCTTTGTGTCTCATATTTAGCCAGGAATGCGCCCAAATCCCGGAAACTCGACGAGACCGCTTTGTCATACTAAAACGAACGAAAATTGTGAAAAATCCTTCTAGCAAAGTGCTCTTCGCGTCGTGCTATTGTAATTACGAATATAAATGAACTTTACAAAAGCGCTTGTGGTTCTTTAATGAAGATAATTAGATTAATATGTTTGTTTCTATAAAGCTTGCAATTTGATTACGATTTCTGTGCAGTATAGAAATAAACAGGAAAAAAGGCAAAGACCAAAATCAAAAAAATTGACGTGAACATAAATACTTCGTTTTCACTTTTATAATTTCACTTTTTTCTCAATTTGGTACTCTTTTGCGGTGCTATTTTCAAAGTCGGCACCTTATATATGGATTAGTGGATGGTCATGTGTAGAATTTGATTCTTGACTCTGAGAATAATGCCAACTAAAAATTCATTCAAGCTGAAAAGAGAAGTCATCCTTTTCTGAGCGCTTTTTGGCTGTAGCCTATCCTTGGTTATTTCCCTGGGGTTGGCTCATTCTTTGGTTTAGAAGTCATGTTTTATAGTGTACAGCGTTTTGTATTTTCTGACTACTACTACTACTACTTTGGCCTTGTCAACTGTTTCAGTTTACAACGGTTTTTCAACACCATTTCAATCTGTGTACAGGTTGAAATGCGGATCTTGTCCTAAAATTTATATTGGACAAACAGGTAGATCATTAAGGAACATAAAAGAGCATTTAGAAACAATAGTCTAGATTCTAATTATGCTACACACTTAAATTTATATTGGACAAACAGGCAGATCATTCAAGAAACGTATTAACGAACATAAAAGAGTCTAGTCTAGATTCTAATTATGCTACACACTTAAACACAGAAAAACACATTTTTGACGACAATTTTGATATTTTACATATGGCCACAAAAAGTAGAAAATTAAATTTATTGGAAACCATGGAGATTAACAACACGAGACATTCAAATGTATTGCTTAACGATCAATTAGATTTAAATACTTATTGAACTTAAATTCTCACAACAACATTATTAATTAAGGATTTATGGTCATTTTTTGGTAGCAGGTAATTTGTACATATTACATTTGATAAAGACACGGTGTTGTCGAAACAATTGTCATGTCAAAATATATAATTTCCTGAAAATCTGAACTTTTAGTTCTTATTTATTTTGACGAAGCAACAACAATTATGGGTGATTTTAACGCCAAAGTCGGACAGGAGGAAGTTGAGGGTCGTGTTAGAAGATTTGGCATTAGAGAGCGCAATGAACAAAGAGATAGAGTGGTGGAGTTTTGCCAAACAGACAAATTCGTTATTATGAACACCTTGTTCAAGCTACCAGCGCAGATTATGGACTTGGAAATCTCCGGCAAACAGCACAAATAACATAGTGCGTAAGTGTTAAATTTGCCAAAACATACCCAGGAACCGACCTCAAGTCTGATTACAATCCCGTCTCTAGTATTAAAGTTAGACTGAAAATATTGAAACGAACAGTAAATAAATCGATGTAAGAACACTTAAAGAGCCCGGCGTCCTTCAGGAAACGACACAAAATGTCAATAACAACCTAAATTTTCTTTATTAATAGCAGGTCAAGAAATGCTGACCTCAGAACGAAAAGCAAGACAAACTTGGACGATAACAGCATCAAATATAATCAAATAAATCGACATCATTCAAAGAAAAATTAAATCTACCAAAGAAGACTGGATAAAGAGGTAGTGTGATCTGCATAAGAAGATGAAGGAGAAGAAAGGAATGAAGAAATATATTGACGGCAGTATTATTTCGGATTTCAAGCGACAGCTGATTCGCTGAATACATTAAAGACCTTTTCAATAACGACGGGCCTGAACTGATTCTTGGCGATGCAGACGAATGGAGGAAGAGCAAATGGTTCTGACGAGATACCGATCGAGCTTCTTAAAATTATAGATGAAGACGCAATTATGATCCTCGTATATCTTTTTAATATCATATACTCAACCGGAGTTATTCCAAGATTGTAGCTTTCATTTACATTTATAACGTTACCTAAGAAACAATATGCTGCAGAATGTTCCGATCATCGAACAATAGTCCTTATGACAATTATTTATAATACAATATTCTCTAAGTTGAACTGAAAATCAGCTATAGCCAATTAGGCTTTAGAAGGGCTATGGGGGCTAGAGAAGGTATGTTCGGTATAAACGTGCTAGCGCAACGATGTCTTGACATGAGCCAAGATGTCTACGCCTGTTTTTTTGCCTTTGAAAAGGCGTTTGATAAAGTTCAACACCAAAAACAATAAACATTGATAATCGGCACATCAGAACCAAACAGCAAGAGTCAGTATTGAATCTTACAGATCGACTTGAGATTCTGCGAGGCGTGCGTCATGGCTATATTCTTTCTCCTCAACTCTTTAACGTATATAGTAAACGACAGGAGGGTGTTACCATAGACGGACAGATTTTATTTATGCGGATGATACCTATATAGACCTGAAAATCCTGATGCAGAAGCTAAATGATTATTACAAACAAATGTTAATGGAATTCTTACTATAGACAACATAACGATAGAAAGAACAAGTAAATAGAGAAGTGCATTTGTAAAAAGTTTCTTTTTCAGCAGAGATTTAAGTTTCGTATTAAAAATAAGAATGCTTCGATGCTACGTTTTTTCAACATTAACTTACGGGTCAGAAGCATGGACACTGAAAAAGACAGATATATGGGTTATCGGCGAATGTTGAAAATCTCATGGACTGACAGGGTTTCCAATCTGGAACTGCTACAGACAACCCTGAAACAGGACGAAATAGTTAACTCTCTAAAAAGAAAATTGGTCACGTGGTCAGGGGACCTAAATATGTTATGCAACAGAACATTATAGAAGGAAAAATCAAGGGCAGAGGGAGTCAAAGGAGAAGATCAACCTCCTGGCTCAAAAACTTAAGGGAATGGGAACCAACTATTCAAAGCAGCTGTTAACAAGATTAGAAAAGCCATTAGGAGAAGAAAAGGAAAACAGCTTAATAAGGGAAGTCTATAGATTAAACACAACACACAACACTCACTATCTTTTATTGCTCCGTGTCAATGACATTTTTGGCCATAGCTAGTTATTGTGTAAAGTTATTGTTAAAGTCACAAAATACCCCCCTATACCTTTTCGCCTTTAAATAATGCAAAAATCTGTCGGCTTCCATCCCCAGTGGTAAATCATCGTCGTCGTCGTAGTAATAATCGAAAACGCATCTCTCCAAATCGTCTAGCGTCTCCACCGCGCTGGAAAACGTATTTTGAAACACGGCAACGACCTCGTCGGCGTCCGCCGCACTTTCCAACGTCATTTCCTCGTCGATCCGTTCCCTGGTAAGGACACGGTCCTCCGAAACGCCTCCGACCACCACGACCGACTTGTGTTTATCGACACTCGCGAATTTTTCGAACACGTTGTCCGGCAAATCCGCCTCCATACCGAAATAAACGACTTTTTTGCGATCAGTTTCGGAACGTTTCAGGACGAAGTTGTCGTCGACGCCGAAGCCGAAAAGACGTCGTCGCTCGCAACCCCAAAGTTGACGGCACATCGAGCACTTGCAATCGCGTTCGCACTTCATTATTTCTCGCAGAGTGCACGCATGTTTACTCGGACTAATAATGTAAATGCAGGCACAAAGAGCTCGTTCTCTCGGTCAAATGAAATCCGAGCCGCGACTTCCCATCATTGTGTATCGTTTTCTCCGAAACCTTGGCGGGAATTTCACTTTTAATTTGTCGATCCTATTCATTAATCCTGCGGCACAGGTGCTATAGTTAATGGTATCCCAATTAATAATATAGGTTACGCTAACGACACCGCAATAATAGCCAATAATGCCAACGATCTGCAAATACTGTCAATGAGGCAAGCCAACAGAGGGGCCTAAAGATTAACACCAACAAAACGAAGTTTATGGTTATATCTAGAGATGTCTTGCCAAACCTATATCTTCAACTCAACGGAGAGCAAATAGAGCGGATCAAGAAGTTTAAATATTTGGGGTGTATGGTGGACGACCAGTGGAACCCAAAACTTGAAATTAGATGCAGGATAGATCAAGCAAGAACAACTAAAACTAAAAAAATTCCTCACCAACCGGAATCTAAATTTCAAACTCAGGTACAGAATGTTTAAGTGTTACGTCTGGTCGGTTCTCCTGTACGGAGCCTAAGCGTGGACGGTTAAAGCTGTTTCTGTCAACCGCATTGAAGCGT